TTTCGTCAACAATTAGTTAGCTTCTGCTAGGATACGTGATGGCAAATGCGAGCAAGGACGATGACGATCCCTTACGGATCGGATCGCTGCTCATCATATGTAGAGGACCACTGATTCGATCATGGTCTACAGATGTCGGAATTATTTTTCATATTATTTTTATTGCCTATTGTTTTTATTATTAATTCTAGAAGAAAAAAACTCGAATAATGTTGGTGGTGAACACTGTTGGCGCGCATGGTGAACAGGCAATGTGCCGTAGACTACCATTCATATAATTTTTCGCTTTCTGACATGTCTTCTTCTCACTCAATAGTCCGTGAAGAACCTTCACGGAAATTCGAGCCTATCGAGGACCCTGAAGACCAATGCAAGGTTGACTGGTCAAATCCGTTCAAGACATGCTGGTGTGGCTGCTTTAGCTTCATGATGCAGCTGATTCTTGTTGCTGCTTGTGGCTCATTCCTCTTCGGATTCAACATATCGTTACTGAATACTGCCATCGGCCACATTGCATGGGAGCTGGAATGGTGTGATTGGAGAGGAGGCACTGAAGATGTTACTGACTGTACTGCATACAAGAATTACAATGCTTTCATCTCTACAGCTGTATTTATTGGAGCGGCTATAGGTTCAATGACAGGTGGTGTGTTCATGGCCTTCGGTCGCCGAGGTATGATGCTATTGTCGATGGCTGTTTTCGTGTTCGGAATCGTGTCATCTTGCTGTGCCAATTCGTTCTCGGCTCTCCTCTGGGCTCGTCTGGTATGTGGTTACGCAGTTGGGTTAGTGTCCGTGTGCTGCCCTTGTTACATGTCCGAGATTACTCCTCCAGCGGTTAGAGGGAAGTATGGTGTATTCCATCAGCTCTTTGTGACGGTCGGTATCCTTGTGGGAACCCTGATTGGTTTGCCCATTGCTTTAAAGTGCCCAATTCCCAACCTTAGCGACCAAACCGCGATTAGCATGAACGGGAAGGTGGTTCATCCTATTCCGGACATCGAGGTGTTTGCGAAGGTTTGGTGGAGAGTTATGCTGGGCATTGGCATTATCCCAGTGATCTTCACGTCTTATCTCCTCGGGTTCATTTACACGTTCGAGACACCCTACTACTACATTGAGAAGGGACAGGTTCGAGATGCTGAGGAATTGCTGAAGAAGATTACGCAGAAATCGGACGTGACCGAGGAGTTGACGGAGATTAGACAGAATGTGGACGAGGCAATGAGGGCTCAGGAAGCTGGCATGACTCTTGGCCAGGCTTGGAAGTCGAGGTCTGATTACCGCTGGGTTATTTTTATTGGATGCTTACTCGCAGCATTCCAGCAGCTCGGCGGTATCAATGTATTCATCGCGTCTTCGAATAAGCTGTTCCAGGACGCGGGTCTGAGTGGCAAATGGCCGACTATTATGTCGAATATAATGAACCTTGTGAATTGTGTAATGACCCTGCCAGCCGTGCCCTTGATTGAAAGGTTAGGAAGAAGAACTCTGATGATTATCGGAACTGTGGGTATGACGGTATCTGTAGGGCCGGCTGCGATATGTTATCTTGCTTTGGAAGACGGATCGAAGGTGACGCAGTGGTTGGCCATCATCGGCTGCATTGTATTTATTATCTTCTTCGCCGCGACCTACGGTCCAATCCTGTGGGTGTACCTGTTCGAGATCTACCCGATTGAGATTAAGGGTTCTGCTGCTGGCGCAGCGACGGCTGTCAACTGGATTGCGGGAATTATTATGGTGTTCGTCACAGCATACCTGGACAACAAGGAGTCATACATGATCTTCTTCATCATGTGCGGTGTCTCTGCGGTTATTGTCTTCCTATGGATGAAAGAGACTAAGGGACGTCAGCTTGGCGACTCTCCTTTCGTCAACAATTAGTTAGCCACTCCAAAGTGGGCCGCCGAGAGGATCTGCTACTCCGTCAAAACTACCCCGTCCAAACCATGGCACCGGTTAAATTAAAGCTATGGCACCGGTTTGTGCCCAATTATATTAGCTTACTATAGCCATATTTTTGGTAGCATTTTTTATAATTGTTTCCATGAAAATATTCGTAGGAATTTCGGCAAAACAAAAACACACTAGTATGCCGGATGAGCGGCAATCTTGCATATCCTCTGATGTTTGCCAGGGTGAGGATGGATTCGGCGGACTGGTTGATACACCGGGGCCCTAACAAGTAGTCTGGGTGCTCGCTTAGCTGCTTCTTTGCTGAATTGAAGCTTCTTGCATTCAGTTTTGCCAAGACGAAAGCTCATGGATTTGTAGCAGTACTCATTGCCTGCATACACCATCCAATTGCACGTATCGGCGACAAAGTCGTGCCACGTGGTGTCATCGTAGCTCCATGGGGTGACCGCAACTGATGCGGGAATGGGGATGAGCAGTTGTTCGTGGGAGCTGTTTAGGGAGAATAAGTCACGAACTTTACCGAGCCAACTCGTGGAGGGTTTCTGGCAGAACCAGTCCAGCCACCTGTAGGCGTCCATCGTCTTTATGCTATGATGCAGAATGTTATAAAGGTTCAACTCGCGCACAACTACTGCACTGCCCCTTAACGAAACAACATGACCTTTGCCGTTTTCCAACATCGCAGCGTTATCGAATATGCTCCCAACGCCCTTCTCCTCACCCAGCCGCTGAGTCCAGGGGTCCCGTCGTTGACCCAGTGTAGCGAAGAAGTTGCCGAACTGCAGTGTCAGTTGCGCGAAATATTCACCGTCCGTGAAATTCAACAGCAGCTCACTGTTCTGCCATCCCGGACCTGTGACCAAGTATACTTCCATTCTAGCCAGCAACCACCAGCTAGTTTCTCCTCCCTTTGTCAGAGTACTTGTCCGGGGGCACTTCATTCATTAAAAATAACCCCTAAGAACAGCGGGCCCCATAACAGGCAAACATCGGTCCAAGTGCAAAGTCGCCGAGCAGGTGTTGTATCAGAGATGTTTCTAGAACTGGTATAATCGTCATTGAAATGTCACGATGTCCCCATACCTAACTTAGCTCATCATTGTGCATTAATGTGAAGTGCAAGGACATCAAAATGCAGAGTGCAATGTGTGAATGCAGTGGCGGGGAAAAACCGTCTCCCGTCGTTGGGCCATTCGCGGCCGTGCACAGCAGTTCCCTCTCTCTTGTGCTTGAGTGGAAACGGAAGAGTTTCGTGATGCAAATTATTCACGGCTCATAAAATACCAAAAGTTTTTTGTCTCGAGACAAAACATATATTACGGCCATGGGGAAAGCACGGACTACTAAGCAAAAAGCAAAAACGACGCTCAAAGACACTTCCAGCAGCAAGGTAAGTCATCGAGGTTTGTATAATTAATTTTCCTCCAGCTAAGCCGGGGCCAAAGGAAGCGGCAAGAGAAACATGAGAAGTTCGCTAGAAGAGAGCAGCTAGCCCTGAAGATTGGCCAACAGAAAGCCCAAGACCGTCAGGTAAAGCTATATGGTTCGGCCTTAGCGGAATTGGAGGGATTGGACTCAGTACTCAAAAGCATTCACACAGAAGTAAAAGCGCAAACCGCAGAACAAAGACTGAAAGACCTAAAACTCCAACTTGGCAAGCAAACGCTGAGCACGAAACAATTAACAGAGACAGAGACAGCAGGCACTCAACTATTCTTCCAGCGGTGGACGGATGACTCTGTACGAAAAGATGTCTTTGGCTGGGTGAAGCAAAAGCTGGCGACTCTGTCCGTTGACTACGGCAAGAAAATCAAGGAATACTCTGACATCAGATCCACTCTGTCCAAGAGATAGATTTGTGTCACGATTTTGGTCCCGCTGCAATTTCGGTCCCGCTGCAAACCCAATGTTTCACTCTCCAGCCCACTCTGTCAGAGCACCTACAGTGAGCGTTGGAGCACACCGTACACGAGTTGCAGAAGTACTACGTAGCAAGTGTATGTCAAAACTCGATCCGACAGGGTTTTGGTTACTGTTGAAAATTCAATAAAGGAAGCATTACTCTTCGTCGGAACTGGAGGAGAAGGCTGAGTCGGACAGTGAGGGACGTCTAAGGGGATTCTGAAGTTTACGTTTTCTGCTTGCGGATATTGCAGTGGGGGTGTGGTATTGGGGGTTTTTCCATAACACCTTTCCGGCAAAAGCGGCTTGGAAGATCCTGATGGGCTCGAGCACAAATCTGGGTCCGATTTCTCTTAGTTGCTGCTGGTCTATGTTGCTGGAAAACTTTTCGGAATATATCTGATAATGTCTGAACCATACTTTGCCATCGTTATATACCCAGGACATGACATGGTCGTGGAACGGTTTAGTCTTGGGATGGTTTCGAGGGCTGCCCCAGATTTGAACAATCATTTCCTTCAGCAGCTTGAGGTGTGTGATGTCGCTGAAACTTTTATCAAAGACCAACAGCGGCCTTGAATACTTAAGACAGTTTCCAATAAAGTTGACACTCTCCATGGTGTGTATGTTATGCACCTGGAACTTCACTGATGGACCATGCGGACACTTAGCGAGGTGCAAATACAAATTCAGTTTTCGCGCTTCAAGGAATATCACGTTGTCGCAGTTGTTCATTTCCGCCACCTCCGGAATCTCGTCAAAAGTCATAGACTTCTCCCACTTCACTTCCGTGTTGTGATGCGGCAACAGATTCCGGATGTCCTGCATCAGGTATCGATGGGCAGTCCGCAAACCTCGGGTCCCGAACACCAAGGTCCGTTGCTTGTTTGTCCACCGGGTACTCGCATTCTGTTCACGCTTAAACTCATTCAGTAAATACGGATCCGCCTCCACTGCCTCCTTCTTCGCTTCTGCATTCTCCTCGTCACTCAACCGTTTCTCCGCAACCGTCTCCTCCGCAACCGTCTCCTCCGCAACCGTCTCCTCCGCAACCGGCTCCTCCGCAACCTTCTCCTCCGCTACCACAATTTGCTCCTTCGCGGCATTGCTTACCGCTGCATTCGTGTCTCTTTGCTTCTGCATCTTCGCTCTCTTACTCTTGGGCTTTGGACTGTCGGTCTTCGGCCTCTTTGTCTTTAACCTCTCCGCAGTGGATCCTTCTCCAGCGGCATCAGACTTGGCTACAGGCTCGGCATCAACCTTGGGTTCAGGCTTGGTCCCCGACTTGGCTTCGGGCTTGGCCCCCAACTTGGCCCCCAACTTGATTACCTGTCCTTTAGGCTTGGCCTTCTGCCTCTCATCCACGAGGTCAGCCTTCTGCCGTCCACCCTCAGGCTTCGCCTCTTGCCTTCCACCCTCAGGCTTCGCCTTTTGCCTCCCGGACCCTGGCTCCTCGGCTCTGGCGCTCTTCGAGCCACGTTTGTTCTTGGCCCCGACCTTTTTGATACGCGCCTCGGCCATGATATTTTTTATAAGCCCCAGAAGCCCCAGAGTTCTCTATCAAAAATGCCACCCGTCGTTTCAGCCCATCTTGCGACTTCACGAGAGTCCACTTCTCGTCCACGAGATTCTACGTCTTGACCAGGCATGTTTCCGCCAGGTCCAGGTACTCACCAGACCCAGGTTTCCACCAGATCTGCCCGGACAGGTTCGTTTCAGCCGACCAGACCGCTTCCTTTTGCTTAGGACGACGGTCGTGCATAGGACGACGATCGTGCATAGGACGACGATCGTGCATAGGACGACGGTTGCGTATAGGACGATGATCGTGCATAGCACGACGGTCGGTTTATAGTTTCAGTAGTTTCTTCAGTACTTTTGGGTCGCCCCCGTTTTCTTCGATCATCTGCTTTACTGTGTCGATGCCTCCAATGAGCTGGCCTCTGACGTAGAGTTGGGGAAAAGTCTTCCAGTTGGATACGACTTTGACTTTCTCGCGGATGTAGTCGTCGGTGAACACGTTGAAGCAGTCGTAGTCGTCGATCTCAGCTTCCCGCAGGAGAGCACTGATGGCTTTGGAGAACTTGCAGTAAGGCGCGCTCTTGCTGCCCTTCATGAACATAACTACCTCTGCTTGATTGATGATGTCCCGGCATCGTTCCGCCAGTTTGGCGTCTGCCCGAGTAGCGATCTCCTCCAGCTCCTTGCTCGCCTCCTGAAGTTTCTTCAAGCCGTCTACACTGTCATCGGCAAACAACGAACCATCGACGATGACCAAGTCTGACGTAACGGCGGTCGTAGCGTTGGTCGCAGCGTTGGCCGTAGTCGGAAATAGAGTGTGCAAGGCCGCGGCCATTTCTGGGGCAGTCGACTGGTCCAGAACAATTCGACCGGGCTCGGGTGTGCCGGAGAGCAGTCGACACTTGCTGGCGTCCGTCGTCAGGATAACGTAGGGACGGACGCTGAGCCACTCCTCGCTGGCCGCTACGGCTGCGTCCCGGGCGCCTTTGAGCAGGACGTCTAACGCTGCCCGGTCCTTGAATAGCTCCTGGCCCAGCGGCACCGAACCTTGCACGAGATATTTCTTACAGAGCGCGAGATAATCTGGCGCCTGAGGGACTTCCAAGCACTCGGGCAGAGCCTGGTTCACTACTACCCAAAAGGTAGGCACCGCGGTAACCCCCAATGCCTCACGAGAGCAAGCAATGTCCTTCATCTCCACCATGACGTAACGAGCCTGCGGAGCAACCTTGGGCAACTTCTCAAACACGGCCTTCATCGCGTCAGACTTAGCATGGCCCTCAGCAAAAAACAACACTCCCAAACTACCGTGCTGACCCACGCTGTCAGCCAATTCAAACACACTTCGAACACGACATACGCTCTCCGCCATTTTTATTACCCGCCCTGGACCACGACCGTGCCATTCTTAATATCGGGCCAGTATACGCAAATGAAAGAACTTCTTCCCCCTTGGCCCAAGACTCCCACCCCCTTTGTCTTAACGCTCGCTCTCTTACCTTACTCACTTTCCTCACTCCCTCTCCCAGCCTGCTTTCCTCGGTGCTCTTTGGTTGCGATCTCTGGTTTAGCAGAGGGTCCTTTTGAATGCAGAAAACACCCAACGTGGTGAACTGCCCGCGCCTCGTAACCAGCGCTGAGACTTTCCAACGGGCTGAGGAATGGTTTAATCAACTAGCATCTTACAACAAGGACCTGACTCTTCTGAGATCGTCCTCACGATCTGCACTAAGACGCTCTACTAAGCTAATTGCAGTGCCAAAATAGCACACACTCAATGGCTACTGAAGCCCAGTCGGTAGAGACTCGGAGACATGTCGGTAGAGACTCGGAGACATGTCGACAGTGAAACGGTTGGAACAATACGTTCAGGAGAGAAGGACGATTCGCGACGAGTCCTGTACGTTAGACGCAGCACATGGTGAGCTCCCTAGAATAGGACATGAAACTCACTGTAGCCCGAAACTTATGAATGGCCAGCTGGGCTTCAGATGAGCTAGTTCCGATATCCCAGCGAAGACTCTTGGTAGCTTGCTTCATGTAGGTCACCAAGACCTTGTTCTCCCGAGGCCGCCTCTCATTTGGCGCATGTGTTGGTGCAGAGAAGTGCCCGGAGTAATTGTTCTGGAAGCAAGTCTCGACTGCAAGAACATCCTCGCAGCGTAGTGAAAACAAGAGCATCACGGCGGTCTAGTGCCGCGCTCCCAACGATCCACCTGCCCTCCAGCAATGACAAAATCCGTGAAGGTAAAGTCCTGAAAAGGACTGCATGCGAGACTCGACTGGTTAAAGGGAACCGGAACTGATATGCGAGAGAAGCCATCATCATTTGGTCTACCAACTCCTCGTAAGTTTCCAACATGGTCTCTAAAGCGGCTTCGAGTCTGAGATCCATCAAGCGATCTAAGGTCTGGTAAAAATACTGAGGCGCGGCCATCTTGCCCGAATGAGTTGGGCAAAGCAGAGCCTCGAGTGTGGTGCCGGTAACAAACTCATCCAGACGGCTTGCATCTGTGTGGGCAAACAATTGGCGACCACAGGCTGGAATTGATGGAATTCGATGCAACGTCCTATTAACTGCGTGCACAGCCCAGTGTGGAATTCAGTCAGACCCTGCGGAGTGATGCTATGGAGACTGGGCAGGCGGAGCAATCCAATTGTTCAAGGTACCCAGAGATCATCCACCATTTGATTTATTCTCCTGGTTAAACGGATTGACCGCAGTCACCGGGGAGCGTCGGGGTTTTTTGTGTCGCGTGTCCGTGCGCACACACTTTTGTGTGCGCGGCTTCCGAAAAACAACAGAATATGTGCCGCATCCCTGGC